GGGGGGATGCGCGAGCCCGCTTGCCTTTTTGCTCGCTCGTCTGCCGCCCGATCGGGGGGGGGGGGCCGGCCAGTGCAGCCCTGCTTCGAGGCGGGGAGCGGCTCGGCGCCGACGCGCGTTTTTTTGTTTGTTTGTTTGTTTGTTTGTTTGTTTGTTTGTCTGCTCGCTCACTCTCCCCGCAGAGCCCGGTCGATGCAGCCCTGCTTCCCGAGGCGGGGGGCGGCCGCGGCCGCGCACTCGGAGCGGCCAGCCGTGGGACTCGTGTACAGTGCGATCGCGGAGAGCCAGCTCGCAGAGGGGTGGGGAGGTAGCAAAACACGCCTCTCACGAGGGCCGAGCGGGGACGAGCAGCACGGGGGCGAAGACCAGCAGGAGTTCCTGGCCACTCTGACAGGCCTCGCTGTCGGCGCCCTTCGCGGACGTCGTCCGTTTTGGGGGCAGGCGTCGCCCGCCCAGCAGCAGCTGCTACAGTGGAAGCCCAGGCCAAGAAACACCCTGCTGGCCTCCAGGGTGCCCTGGGTGTCTTGGGTTCCGATGGTTTTGCCACGGACAGCGTGACGTGCCCATGCCAAAAATCAATGGGCGTCCAGGGGTTCCAGGGTTGGGTTTCTTGTGGAAGGTTTCTTGTGGTCGAGCCCCGGCTGTATGGCACTTGGACCACCTTCTGCTGGTGGGCATCGTCCCCGCTCGTTCCCGCCCTCCTATCGGGCGTGCCAGATATCCCCGTCGCCGCCCGAGAGCTCTGGCGAGTCGGAATCACGCCCGAGGTTTTCCCGCCAGTCTGGGCCGTCAGGGCGCTTGTTCTGGGCCCCGGGGCCGTCGAGAAGCAGCTCGGCATGAAGCGCCGGTCCCAGGGGAAGGGATCGAGGGCTCCAGGAGCCAGCGTCGTCGGGAGGTCTGGGGGGCCTTTCTTCTCCAGGGGCAGGCCTGAGAGCGCGCAGATGAGCCACGGAGGGCCTTGCGCGGGCCTTCGCGCGTAAGCTTCCCGCGTAATCTCGCGCGCACGCGCTCTCGTTTCCAGTGTAGCGTGCCGCTCTAGCGGCCCCTGTAAGCCACTGCGTAAGGTCGCTACGTCATCCCGTTTGTTCTCGTCGCTCAGATGACCGCGCTTCACGCGTCGCGCGGCTCGAGAATCGAAGCTCGACGGTCCAGCTTGAGGAGCGGCCCAGACGGCCCCTGGCTACCAGAACTCTGCTACGTCACCGTCTGTCGGTGTACATTCTGTGGGGTGATGAGGCAGCGAGGAGGGGGTGAGGGCCGTGCCTGGAAGGGGATCCTCGTGGAGGGAGGGCGGTGTGGCCGCGCCCAACGTCTCCCCAGGGGCAGAGCAGAGACCAGGAGCAGCAGGAGTGGAGGAGGGACAACGAGGAAGGACGATGATCATGACGATGATGAGGATGCTGATGATGATGATGCTGATGATGATGATGAGGATGATGATGATTATGATGATGATGCTGATGATGATGAGGATGATGATGAAGATGATGATGGTAAGGATGAGGGTGATTATGATGAAGATGATGATGATGCTGATGATGCTGCTGATATTGATGATGCTGATGACGATGCGGATACTGCTGATGATGATGATGACCACGCTGCTGCTGTTGCTGATGAAGATGCTGCTGCTGATGCTGATGAGAGTGGTGATGATGTGGGGGATGATGGTGATGATGATGGGGGGGGGATGAGAATGCGGATGAGCATTATGTCGGTGATCATGATGATGGTGGTAAACATGATTATGTTGAAATGACGATGGTGACGACGATGATGCTGCTGCTGATGATGATGAGGAGGAGGCCGATGATGATGGTGATAATGGTGATGATGATGCTCATGCTGGTGATGTGGTGGTGGATGATGATGATGATGATGATGATGCTGATGCTGATTATGATGATAAGGATGATGAGGATGCTGATGCTGATGATGATGAAGTGGAAGATGATGCTGTTGATGATGATTATGGTGCTAATGATGATGATTAGGATGATGATGTGATGATAATCATGGTGATGATGATGATTATGAAGATGACGATGATGCTGATAATGCTGCTGATGATGCTGCTGACGATCATGCTGAAGATGCTTCTGATGATGATGATGATGCTGATGCTGCTGCTGGTCATGATAATGATGATGATGAGGATGCTGATGCTCATGCTGATGATGATGTTGAGGATGAGGATGCGGATGAGGATGAGGACGAGAATGAGGATGAGGATGATGATACTGATGATGCTGATGATGATGACGATGATGATGAGGACTCAGCTGATGCTGATGCTGATGATGATGGCGATGATGATGACGATGACGATGACGATGACGATGATGATGCTGATGATGCTGCTGATGATGATGATGATGATGCTGATGATGATAATGATGGTGATGTGGTGGTGATGTGCCGCTGATGCTGTGCTGCTGCTGATGATGATGATGATGATGATGATGATGATGATGATGATGATGATGATGATGATGATGATGATGATGATGATGATGATGATGATGATGATGATGATGATGATGATGATGATGATGATGATGATGATGATGATGATGATGATGATGAGGATGATGATGATGATGATGATGATGATGATGATGATGACGATGATGATTGACGAGGAGAGGAGGAGGAGATGAGGAGGATGATGAGCATGAGGTTGATGAGGATAGGGGAGGAGGTGGAGGAGGATGTGGAGAGCCAGTTCTGGACCATGGCGTTGAAAGTTCGGAGGCCCCTGGGCCCCAGGGGCGGCCTGGGGCGCAGAGGTGAGAGCGGCGCCCTCCGGTCTGGGAGGGGCCTCGGTGCTCCTTTCGGTGCTCCTTTCGGGGGCGATGGGAAAACCAGCTGCATGGAACTGATTCGCTTACACCCCCCTCCTATACATATCCTCATATCTATTTGTATGGGGGCCCGGGGCCGGGACCTCGACCACAAATGTGCGCCCCGGGGGGCCCGGAGGCTCGTCGGGGCTTGCCGGAGGCCTCCCCAGTCAGACAAGACGGCCCAAGAAGCGCCCAAGACGGCCCAAGAAACTTCCAAGAGGCCTCCAAGAGGGCTCCGAGATGCTGAAGATGGCCTCCAGACGTCCAAGGACGCCCCCAAGAGGCCCCAAGAAGCCTCCAACATGCGTCCCAAGAGGGCCCCTAGACGCAAAAATTGGCCCATTCCCTTCGTAAAACGTACATTTTCAACAAAGTTGTCTTTTGGGCTTTCCGACGTTACAGGACGGCCCAAGAGGCGCCCAAGACCGCCCCAAGACGGCCCAAGAAGCTTCCAAGAGGGCCCCAGGACAGCCCAAGAGGGCCCCAAGACGGCCCAAGAGGCGCCCAAGATGGCCCAAGAGGGCCCCAAGACGGGCCCAAGAGGGGGCCCAGAGGGGGACCACGAACCGCAAGCTCGAGCCTTCCGCCCCAAGAGGCCGCCAGGAGGCCCCAGGAGGCCCCTCAAGAGGCCCCAGGAGACCCCAGACGTCCAAGGACGCCCCCAAGAGGCTCCAAGAAGCCTCCAACATGCGTCCCAAGAGGGCCCCTAGACGCAAAAATTGGCCCATTCCCTTCGTAAAACGTACATTTTCAACAAAGTTGCTTTTGGGCTTTCCGACGTTACAGGACGGCCCAAGAGGCGCCCAAGACCGCCCCAAGACGGCCCAAGAAGCTTCCAAGAGGGCCCCAGGACAGCCCAAGAGGGCCCCAAGACGGCCCAAGAGGCGCCCAAGATGGCCCAAGAGGGCCCCAAGACGGGCCCAAGAGGGGGCCCAGAGGGGGACCACGAACCGCAAGCTCGAGCCTTCCGCCCCAAGAGGCCGCCAGGAGGCCCCCAGGAGGCCCCTCAAGAGGCCCCAGGAGACCCCAGACGTCCAAGGACGCCCCCAAGAGGCCCCAAGAAGCCTCCAACATGCGTCCCAAGAGGGCCCCTAGACGCAAAAATTGGCCCATTCCCTTCGTAAAACGTACATTTTCAACAAAGTTGTCTTTTGGGCTTTCCGACGTTACAGGACGGCCCAAGAGGCGCCCAAGACCGCCCCAAGACGGCCCAAGAAGCTTCCAAGAGGGCCCCAGGACAGCCCAAGAGGGCCCCAAGACGGCCCAAGAGGCGCCCAAGATGGCCCAAGAGGGCCCCAAGACGGGCCCAAGAGGGGGCCCAGAGGGGGACCACGAACCGCAAGCTCGAGCCTTCCGCCCCAAGAGGCCGCCAGGAGGCCATCAGGAGGCCCCTCAAGAGGCCCCAGGAGACCCCAGACGTCCAAGGACGCCCCCAAGACGCTTCGCGTCACCAATTTCTTCTCGCAACGATTCCTGGGTCTGTGACTCGACAGAACCTAAGCGCGCGCGAAGCGCGCGCGTGGTTCTAGTATATATATATATATATATATATATACACACCCTTTCCGTCCGCCCCGACCCCTCGTCCTCGTCCTCCTGGCCCCAGCCGCCGTCCTGGTCCTTGTCGCCGCCCCCGGTTCGGGACCACCTGGCTCAAGAGTCGGGCTCGAACTTCTCTTTCAGGCCTCCTGGTCGCCTCGCTCCGTCGCGCACCCAGCCTGTAGGCAGGATGGGCATTGTGTTCACCAAGATCTGGCAGCGCATGGTCAGCAAGGAGGAGATGCGCATCCTGATGCTCGGCCTGGACGCGGCGGGGAAGACGACCGCCTGTACAAGCTGAAGCTCGGGGAGGTCGTGACGACGATCCCGACGGTGGGCTTCAACGTGGAGAGCGTGGAGTACAAGAACATCAGCTTCACCGTGTGGGACGTCGGCGGGCAGGACAAGATCCGCCGGCTCTGGCGCTACTACTTCCAGGGCACCCAGGGGCTCGTCTTCGTGGTGGACAGCAGCGACCGGGACCGCGTGGAGGACGCGCGGGAAGAGCTGATGCAGGTGCTCGGCGAGGACGAGATGCGGGGCGCCGCCCTGCTCGTGCTGGCCAACAAGCAGGACCTGCCCAACGCCATGCCCGCTGCGGAGCTGACGGAGAAGCTGGGCCTCCAGGGCCTCCGCGCCCGGCAGTGGTACATCCAGTCGGCGTGCGCCACCTCTGGCGACGGCCTGTACGAGGGGATGGACTGGATGTCGCGCGTGCTGTCGTCCAGGAAGTGAGCGCCGCGGGGGGACGCGAGCCCGCTTGCCTTTTTGCTCGCTCGTCTGCCGCCCGATCGGGGGGGGGGGCCCGGCCAGTGCAGCCCTGCTTCGAGGCGGGGAGCGGCTCGGCGCCGACGCGCGTTTTTTTGTTTGTTTGTCTGTTTGTTTGTTTGTCTGCTCGCTCACTCTCCCCGCAGAGCCCGGTCGTTGCAGCCCTGCTTCCCGAGGCGGGGGGCGGCCGCGGCCGCGCACTCGGAGCGGCCAGCCGTGGGACTCGTGTACAGTGCGATCGCGGAGAGCCAGCTCGCAGAGGGGTGGGGAGGTAGCAAAACACGCCTCTCACGAGGGCCGAGCGGGGACGAGCAGCACAGGGGGCGAAGACCAGCAGGAGTTCCTGGCCACTCTGACAGGCCTCGCTGTCGGCGCCTTGCGCGGACGTCGTCCGTTTTGGGGGCAGGCGTCGCCCGCCCAGCAGCAGCTGCTACAGTGGAAGCCCAGGCCAAGAAACACCCTGCTGGCCTCCAGGGTGCCCTGGGTGTCTTGGGTTTCGATGGTTTTGCCACGGACAGCGTGACGTGCCCATGCCAAAAATCAAATCAATGGGCGTCCAAGGGTTCCAGGGTTGGGTTTCTTGTGGAAGGTTTCTTGTGGTCGAGCCCCGGCTGTATGGCACTTGGACCACCTTCTGCTGGTGGGCATCGTCCCCACTCGTTCCCGCCCTCCTATCGGGCGTGGCAGATATCTCCGTCGCCGCCCGAGAGCTCTGGCGATTCGAAATCACGCCCGAGGTTTTCCCGCCAGTCTCGGCCGTCAGGGCGCTTGTTCCAGGCCCCGGGGCCGTCGAGAAGCAGCTCGGCATGAAGCGCCGGTCCCAGGGGAAGGGAGCTCCAGGAGTTAGCGTCGTCGGGAGGTCTGGGGGCCTTCGCGCGTAAGCTTCCCGCGTGATGTCGCGCGTACGCGCTCTCGTTTCCAGTGTAGCGTGCCGCTCTAGCGGCCCCTGTAAGCCACTGCGTAAGGTCGCTACGTCATCCCGTTTGTTCTCGTCGCTCAGATGACCGCGCTTCACGCGTCGCGCGGCTCGAGCATCGAAGCTCGACGGTCCAGCTTGAGGAGCGGCCCAGACGGCCCCTGGCTACCAGAACTCTGCTACGTCACCGTCTGTCGGTGTACATTCCGTGGGGTGATGAGGCAGCGAGGAGGGGGTGAGGGCCGTGCCTGGAAGGGGATCCTCGTGGAGGGAGGGCGGTGTGGCCGCGCCCAACGTCTCCCCAGGGGCAGAGCAGAGACCAGGAGCAGCAGGAGTGGAGGAGGGACAACGAGGAAGGACGATGATCATGACGATGATGAGGATGCTGATGATGATGCTGATGATGATGATGAGGATGATGATGATTATGATGATGATGCTGATGATGATGAGGATGATGATGAAGATGATGATGGTAAGGATGAGGGTGATTATGATGAAGATGATGATAATGCTGATGATGCTGCTGATGTTGATGATGCTGATGATGATGCGGATACTGCTGCTGATGATGATGATGACCACGCTGCTGCTGTTGCTGATGAAGATGCTGCTGCTGATGCTGATGAGAGTGGTGATGATGTGGGGGATGATGGTGATGATGATGGGGGGGGGATGAGAATGCGGATGAGCATTATGTCGGTGATCATGATGATGGTGGTGAACATGATTATGTTGATGATAATGACGATGGTGACGACGATGATGCTGCTGCTGATGATGATGAGGAGGAGGCCGATGATGATGGTGATAATGGTGATGATGATGATGCTCATGCTGGTGATGTGGTGGTGGATGACGATGATGATGATGATGATGATGATGATGATGATGATGATGATGATGATGATGATGATGCTGATTATGATGATAAGAAGATGATGATGCTGATGATGATGAAGTGGAAGATGATGCTGTTGATGATGATTCTGGTGCTAATGATGATGATTAGGATGATGATGTGATGATAATCATGGTGATGATGATGATTATGAAGATGACGATGATGCTGATGATGCTGCTGATGATGCTGCTGACGATCATGCTGATGATGCTTCTGATGATGATGATACTGATGCTGCTGCTGGTCATGATAATGATGATGATGAGGATGCTGATGCTCATGCTGATGATGATGTTGAGGATGAGGATGCGGATGAGGATGAGGACGAGAATGAGGATGGATGATGATACTGATGATGCTGATGATGATGACGATGATGATGAGGACTCAGCTGATGCTGATGCTGATGATGATGGCGATGATGATGACGATGACGATGACGATGACGATGATGATGCTGATGATGCTGCTGCTGATGATGATGATGATGATGATGACGGTGGTGGTGATGGTGATGATGCTGCTGTTGATGATGATGATGATGATGATGCTGATGATGATAATGATGGTGATGGTGGTGGTGATGATGCCGCTGCTGCTGCTGCTGCTGCTGATGATGATGATGATGATGATGATGATGATGAGGATGATGATGATGATGATGATGATGATGATGATGATTGACGAGGAGAGGAGGAGGAGATGAGGAGGATGATGAGCATGAGGTTGATGAGGATAGGGGAGGAGGTGGAGGAGGATGTGGAGAGCCACTTCTGGACCATGGCGTTGAAAGTTCGGAGGCCCCTGGGCCCCAGGGGCGGCCTGGGGCGCAGAGGTGAGAGCGGCGCCCTCCGGTCTGGGAGGGGCCTCGGTGCTCCTTTCGGTGCTCCTTTCGGGGGCGATGGGAAAACCAGCTGCATGGAACTGATTCGCTTACACCCCCCTCCTATACATATCCTCATATCTAACTGTATATATATATATATACACACACCCTTTCCGTCCGCCCCGACCCCTCGTCCTCGTCCTCCTGGCCCCAGCCGCCGTCCTGGTCCTTGTCGCCGCCCCTGGTTCGGGACCTTCTGGCTCAAGAGTCGGGCTCGGACTTCTCTTTCAGGCCTCCTGGTCGCCTCGCTCCGTCGCGCACCCAGCCTGTAGGCAGGATGGGCATTGTGTTCACCAAGATCTGGCAGCGCATGGTCAGCAAGGAGGAGATGCGCATCCTGATGCTCGGCCTGGACGCGGCGGGGAAGACGACCGTCCTGTACAAGCTGAAGCTCGGGGAGGTCGTGACGACGATCCCGACGGTGGGCTTCAACGTGGAGAGCGTGGAGTACAAGAACATCAGCTTCACCGTGTGGGACGTCGGCGGGCAGGACAAGATCCGCCGGCTCTGGCGCTACTACTTCCAGGGCACCCAGGGGCTCGTCTTCGTGGTGGACAGCAGCGACCGGGACCGCGTGGAGGACGCGCGGGAAGAGCTGATGCAGGTGCTCGGCGAGGACGAGATGCGGGGCGCCGCCCTGCTCGTGCTGGCCAACAAGCAGGACCTGCCCAACGCCATGCCCGCTGCGGAGCTGACGGAGAAGCTGGGCCTCCAGGGCCTCCGCGCCCGGCAGTGGTACATCCAGTCGGCGTGCGCCACCTCTGGCGACGGCCTGTACGAGGGGATGGACTGGATGTCGCGCGTGCTGTCGTCCAGGAAGTGAGCGCCGCGGGGGGAGGCGCGAGCCCGCTTGCCTTTTTTGCTCGCTCGTCTGCCGCCCGATCGGGGGGGGTGCCCGGCCAGTGCAGCCCTGCTTCGAGGCGGGGAGCGGCTCGGCGCCGACGCGCGTTTTTTTGTTTGTTTGTTTGTTTGTTTGTTTGTTTGTCTGCTCGCTCACTCTCCCCGCAGAGCCCGGTCGTTGCAGCCCTGCTTCCCGAGGCGGGGGGCGGCCGCGGCCGCGCACTCGGAGCGGCCAGCCGTGGGACTCGTGTACAGTGCGATCGCGGAGAGCCAGCTCGCAGAGGGGTGGGGAGGTAGCAAAACACGCCTCTCACGAGGGCCGAGCGGGGACGAGCAGCACGGGGGCGAAGACCAGCAGGAGTTCCTGGCCACTCTGACAGGCCTCGCTGTCGGCGCCTTGCGCGGACGTCGTCCGTTTTGGGGGCAGGCGTCGCCCGCCCAGCAGCAGCTGCTACAGTGGAAGCCCAGGCCTAGAAACACCCTGCTGGCCTCCAGGGTGCCCTGGGTGTCTTGGGTTTCGATGATTTTGCCGCGGACAGCGTGACGTGCTCCAGGGTTGGGTTTCTTGTGAAAGGTTCCCTCTGGTCGACCCCCGGCTGTATGGCACTTGGACCAGCATCGTCCCCACTCGTTCCCGTCCTCATATCGGGCGTGGCAGATATCTCCGTCGCCGCCCGAGAGCTCTGGCGAGTCGGAATCACGCCCGAGGTTTTCCCGCCAGTCTGGGCCGTCAGGGCGCTTGTTCCAGGTCCCGGGGCCGTCGAGCAGCAGCTCGGCATGAAGCGCTGGTCCCAGGGGAAGGGATCGAGGGCTCCAGGAGTCAGCGTCGTCGGGAGGTCTGGGGGGCTTTTCTTCTCCAGTGGCAGGCCTGGGAGCGCGCAGATGAGCCGCGGAAGGACTTGCGCGGGCCTTCGCGCGTAAGCTTCCCGCGTAATCTCGCGCGCACGCGCTCTCGTTTCCAGTGTAGCGTGCCGCTCTAGCGGCCCCTGAAAGCCACTGCGTAAGGTCGCTACGTCATCCCGTTTGTTCTCGTCGCTCAGATGACCGCGCTTCACGCGTCGCGCGGCTCGAGCATCGAAGCTCGACGGTCCAGCTTGAGGAGCGGCCCAGACGGCCCCTGGCTACCAGAACTCTGCTACGTCACCGTCTGTCGGTGTACGTTCTGTGGGGTGATGAGGCAGCGAGGAGACGGTGAGGGCCGTGCCCAACGTCTCCCCAGGGGCAGCGAAGAGACCAGGAACAGCAGGAACGGAGGAGGGACAACCAACGAGGAAGGACGATGATGATGATGATGATGATGA